AAACCACTAAAATTTTAACAAAAGTTTAAACTTAACTTGTATTTGCTTAACAATCACAAGACACAAAATACATCCCAATCACAAATACTTGGTTTGCAAATTACACATTCATGAACAATCACAACACATAGAAATAAATCATTCCAAGTACCAAATTATAAAAAAAAGTTTCATTCAACACATCCCAACTCTCTCTACTAATTCACCAAACATGTTAGTGAAAGAGTGAAAGGGTAAGGGCCCAAATGGAATTGAAATTGAAAGGGTAAGGGCCGAAATGGCCAATGGGTTTTGAATTGGGTTGGGCTGAATTAAATTTCTGCATTTGTATTGAATGGGTATAACGGGTACCCACATTACCCAAACGGGTATTTGCGGGTAACCCGCGGGTACCCATATTAGGAATGTTCAATCCCAAGTCCCATCCGTTTATAATATTACGGGTAATATGGGTACCCGTAACCCTTAAAAAATGGGACGGGTACGGGTATACCCAAATACCCGTTTCCCGTTGCCCACCCCTAGCGCCAAAGCCTTGATCAATGTGAATGATGGTAAACTTATCCTGAAAGCCAGGGAGGAACAAATCACCTTTTTTCCATTTCTGATAGCATTAAGCACTTAGATGTGCATATAGAGCTGTTTGTGATCTTTTGGCATGCTGTGATTGACGTTATTCTTTCTATCTTTTGTTTTTTTTATGCCTTTATGTTTACTTTTGTACGATAGAATGAGTTCCTAAGTTGAGATTTCATTCCTTCGTGGTGCAAGCATCGAAATCCTAGTCGCATAGATAGACCTTAACTATTAGGATAAATAAACGAATCACACTTTTACCAGTTTTTTGAGAATTCCCTTTCGGATAATGGAACTCTATTATAAGTGCATTTAACATGCATTTCTTTCTTCCAATCCTTAAAATCCTGGGACCAACGGAGATGATAGTTCTATACGATTGACCCTCGATTTGATCAATCATCGTGATGCGTTAAAAGAGAAATCCGAAGGGTCCTTGTTGCCTGCCATACCTAGGCAAGAAGCCTTGACACAAGGTTGGATTAGATCACATAATAATCAAGCAACTCATACTTTAGGATCAAGATTTGAGTCAAGGAACTTTAGGGGGAGCTTTGCTTGTGCAACGCCTCGTCCTCCTGCTTTCTACACTCGCATAGTTATAGATTTCCTTTTACATATCACTTTTAATTTAGATTTCTATAAACCCAAGGGCAACTTCTAACCCGGAGAAACCACAACCTCCAAATTCATTTTAAGAGATCCTAGAACTCGTCCCCGATCACATGAGCAAGTGGTGAGAGACCCTAGAGAATTAGAATCCTAGTGCTAATTTGGAACACTAGTACAAGTGGATCAAAGAGGAAGATCACGGAGGTGATCTGAGAATGTTTCAAATGATCTCCAAAATGGCGTCGCATTGATTAGTTGCACTGCTGACTTTGATTATCATGAGACCGGAGATCATGTGCATGAACGCAGCTTCACGGTTGAGTTAATGACCTATATAGCTGCTTGTGATCTACCTCATTTTGATCGCGATCCTCTTTGTTTCTTGTCACTAAAGATCATGAAGAAAATAGGGTGGTTCACTGTCGTGATCTTCAAACTGTATGGGCGTGAACTTCACGGCCAGGGATCACGGTCGAGATTTTCAAGGTCTGCCTGCGATCTTCTGGATTTTCCCTCATTATCTTCTACACTTGTTCTCCAAGACTTGAATCATGCCCAAATCTTTACATTTCTTGGTAAGACCTAAAAATGCAGTAAAGAAACCACCATAGCCTAAAATGGAGCAACTACGGACACAATTTTGGTAAATAAGCATGATAACACCTAATAATGGAGTATTTAGTACTTATTTAGGTGAAATCAATTTTAGAGTCACTAGAGAGAAAAAAAAATATTGTTTATGTTGTCAATATTCATAGTCGAGCAATATATAGTTTACGACAGTTTCATGAAGATGCAACTCATAGAGTGCTTATATATTTGAAGAGTGAAGCGCCAAGGTCTTTTTACTTCCATAGGTAGGTGCAAATCTCGTTTCTTGGCATACAAAGAAGCAAACTACTAATTGCACGGTCATCGGCCGAAGCAGAGTATTGAGTTATGGTGAGCACATTAAGTGAATTCATCTCGCTTTGATGGTTGTTGCATTAGTTAGGAGCAACACAAAATGTCACAATGGTCCTTCATTGTGATAATCAATCAACACTACTTGTGGAAACGAATTGTTGCTTTTGTGCATGAACATTGTGGCATCTCGAGAGAAATCATAGATCAAGGAGTTGATCTCTCTAACTTCTCCTATTTGATTCCCAAGTTTGGGTTATATGATATTCACGCCTCAATTTGACGGGAAGTTAGAAGTTACATGTCATCTTATTGTGCATGGTCTCACAGGCGCATGGATTAAGTTGCCCCCTTTGTTTAATTTGGTAATTTGTATGCATTTATTCCTAGCCCAAGCCTGTTAAACACAAGAACAAAATATCAATAACACCTGAAAGCTCTACATCTCCATAAAGTAATCCCGTTCATACCTAACGATGAAAGCACGTAGTGTTCCACTTCCCAGTACATAGCTAGTTTAAGAGGTTTCGAACCGAAATTTTGCAAGTAAAACCAAGAAGATGGCACGAAGGTGCAACGAAGGGAAAAGGGAATACTACGACAGTCGGCTCAGACGTGTGATTCGGCGGCAAGGTGCGATGACTGATGACATCGCAATAGAAGGTGTGGAAGGGATGTGCTGTGTTTAGCTTTAGACGAAGAAATAAGAAAGACTTGAGCCACCCGACTGTTCAAAATTACAATAGCAGAGAAGAAGTAAAAATATACAACACTAATAGTAATACAATCATTCCATCACGACATGTATGAAGCTCATTTAACTTCTTCGATTTCGTCCAAAGCATAGTTGTTCGTAGATACATTTGCGTAGTTAACTTTGTCGAATCGGACCACAACTGGGTAGCGAGTCTTGGGGTCCTGCGCAACCAGCAAACAGTTTGAGTGGATGTTAAACCCAACCCAACAAAAGAATTAACAAAGTTTACAACTTGCAAATTTTATTTCTCACCTGATCAACAGCTACTACGGATCCAATCCCATTGAACCAGTAGGATTCCCTCCTCATAATCTTCACCTGTTGAACATGTTTTCAAAAACCCAGATACGTCAAACCTTACTGAACACAGAAAACGACTAATTAGCTTGCCTTGAAGGCCAGTAGTATATAGGGTTCTGTATCTGTAGAAACTAATCAGACGGGCTGGTTTTGAAATAGGAAGTCTAAAGTAGACCAAACAAATTTGAGAGCGGTCGTGCGCCTTTTAGACGGACTGGAATTCCAAATCAGTACTGCTCTTTTTTGGTCCCCCTGTTTCTTGCTGTATGTTCAGTGAAAACCCAGTAGGGGGGAAATGGGAATGAGAAGCTAACCTTGGTTCCTCTCTTGGGTCCAATCGGTGGCGGCTTGACCTTAGCCTTAGGGGCTTCACCCTCAGCAGGAGCTGGAGTTGTAGCAGTAGCAGCAGGTGGCGCCGCTCCCTCGTCCGCGGCCGCCCTCACAACGAGCTGCAGCCGGGAACCGCTGCTGCTGTTCTTGGGTGCGAAAAACAAGAAGCTGCTGCCGCTGGTCTTTGAGGTTGTTGTGACGTTAGGTGTGAAGACGAACCCTGAAGCGGCCGACGCCATGTTGCAGCTAGCCATGATTCAGGGTGTGGAAGCAGATAAATTGGAAACAGCAGAAGTTGCAATTGGGGAGTGTGGCTTTTGAGTTTTGAGCAATTTGTGTGGCCGGTTTTTTCCTTTTTTTCCAGGGCTGGTGGCAAGTTAGAATTATCTCTATCTTGGAAGGTAAAGTTAAGGGGAAGATCGTTTCATCCACTGAGATACTGCCACTTGGTCACCATATCTGGTTCCTATGGCTATGGATAATGTGATTACAAGTCATCTCGTCTCCCCACCAACTTTAATAATTCGGATGCTCTCCACTCAACCCCAGCTGCGAGACTAGATCTAATGCCAATTTCTCAAGGGGCCAGTCTGTTACAGTTTGGTGGAGTTTCGCTGCGTAATTAAAATTCTCCTCATTGGATTTGCTAGGCACTAAAGATGGGCTGAGATCTTGTGACTAGGGATAGGTCGTTTGGAAGTTGCCACTACAAGAAAAAGCATATGTTGCTATGTAACAATTTGTGGCTAAACCTGCAACATAATGTAGCTAAACCGTATAGCCATAAATAAATAACTTTGTAGCTCGTGTGGCTAAAAGTGGCGCAGCTAAAGGTTAGCTACACAATTTTATACATGTGTAGCTAATAATGTAGACCTTTTGCTATAAAAAACTTATATTGAAGCAAAATTATAAAACATTTCTTGCCATGAAAGTGAAAATGATATAGCAAAACCATCAAAGTATTTAGCTACACAAAAACATAACTCATGGCCTATTGTTGTTGCGAGCCACACAAAATTTCACTCGAAGCAAATAGTTATACGTTTTGCCACAAATAATTTATTAAGTTGCCATAGGTTATTTTGTGACTGAAAGATCAAAGTTCTTGCTACGGAAAACAAATTGTGGCTACTTAAGCTACTTTAATGATGAGTGAAATGGCAATGACATTCAATTTTGTTGACAAAGACGGTATAATTATACCTGACATTGTTTTGCCGAAAACCAAATTATAAATAATATATTTTAGTATTAAATCTTTTTCATTGAATTTCTGTACGAAAATGTATAATTTTATCTACTTATTTTATTTTGGATACTCTTTATACACATCCAAAGTTACACTCGACACATCAATAAGGAGAACATGATTTAGCATTCATTAAATAGACTAATTTGTTTAGATAGGAAGAATACAGTAGTACAATATGATACAAAAAATACTATACATCACATTGTAACGGATCCCTATAGCTATTAATAAGACGTACATAGAAACATAATGTATAGAAGTACAAATGCACATATTCTTTTCATCAACTGCCTTCCGTTGCATTCTTGGCGACAGCTTTGTTACACTGGTTTCGGCTAGAACAATTTCATTTTTACCTACAAAAGAAAGAGCAATTAAAAATTTCATATATAAGCCGAAAATATTCTTAACGATTCTGATTCAAGCATCTGAAATATTTTCAAGGGCTGAAAAGAGATACTAACAACAATAAAGTATAACTTCTAATGTGAGGTAACAATATTTAAGGTAGAGAAAACACGAGAGTGAACAATAGAACGGTAGTTGCGTCAAATCAAATATGAACAACAAGGATATGCCATTTGATTTTCCCAGGTAAGGGAATTTTTTAGGCTTACATATATAAAGCTATTCTGCAATGTTAGAAACTTCTTTGATGGTTCATGAAGTATCTTATGAAATAGGGTTGCTAAGATTAAACAAAATATACAAAAACCATGTGACATTAGAGGAACTTTAAGATTTTTATTGAGAAATAAACTTCTCATGTATGCAATGCAAAACAAAAAATCTGGCTCAAATCATCTAAAATAAATAAGTGAATGGCACCTAGGTGCGACAACTTAAGATTGGAGTAGGCTCAATCTAGATCAACAACTCATACCAATCGGTAATGAATAAGAATCACACTTTCAATCTAAATATCAAGACAAAATAGTACTATTGATTCATCGTTTCTAATAAAAATGATTATGAGGTAACAAGAAAGAAGATGCTCAAACGATATAATACCCGGTGCATAAACTAGAAAATTGATGAAAAGGCGAACGCATATAGGGACTATGCAAAGTCTGACGAAACTGACACAACGTCCATAGGTCGGAGAAGAGGAAAATGTTGCACCTTCACAGCCGATGAACGCAGGACGACATGAGGTTTATGCCTGGCAGTGGATTGATGGCGGAGGAAGATTCTAAGGCTAGGGTTGAATCCACCATGCAAGAATGAACAAGTATTGAAAAGATAGGAAATCCCCATTCTCATACCCTGCACAATAAAGAAGGTAGAATTATAGAGGTAGCAGGCGGAGAAAGTCGAGGCGGCTAGGGTTATATATATAAAATATTATTTTATATAATTATTTTTATCAATGCGAATGAATGCTTTTTCACCCTTGTTAATTAAAAAATGCAGAAAAATATCCTTCTTTATATTTGATGAGAAACCGGCATTATATTCAGCATTTGTTAGTTATTTGTTGCTATTTTATTTACTTGTATTAGGCTAATCTAAAGCCCGTCTTTGATTGTCTAGTCAAGTTGAGAGACTACAAGGTTGTCAACCTGGTTTAGCTTGGTGGTTAAGTTGAGAAAATGGATGAAGGTTTAATGGTCTGATTGTTTTAATTTGATTTATCATCCTTATATGAAAAAGTTATTATATTATTCATATATATATATATATATAAATTATAACAAATCTCATTTAATAAATGAGAAATAACAAATAGAAATACACCAAAATAATAGTTCGCAGTTGAATCCAACATACAGTAACACTTAAATCCACCATATAAGTTTGTGATTGGCACCTTGAATGAACTTGAACAGGTTGAGAAATATAGATAGAACTCGTGATTAGAAGTGATTGCAACCCATCATTTGTGCTTTTGCACCAAAGGACTCTAAATCCCAAGATAACGACATGCTTATATTGAACAATCAAACATTAAAATTAAGAAATTATTTATACAGAAGCACAGAAAATCCTAATTATAGTATGGAACAAAAGGGGGTTTTACCTAAACTGAGCAAACTGTAGAAAAGAAGGTTTTTATCTCATTCGTATCCAGCGAAGGAAAGCGACCGATGAATTTGATATAAAGTGGTGACAACGTGGATTTGTACTTGTGAAAGCCAAACAAAGTGGTCTTCTCGAATGAAAGTTCGTTAACCGATAATATTTTTTATGATTAATTGTCACAAATGTTTGTTATAGTAGCTAAAGAGATTGTCACAAATGTTTGTTATAGTAGCTAAAGAGATTAATTTGCTATAATATTCTAGCGTAGCATATAGTTTGTGGCAAAAGATAGTACCAATTGCCATGTTAGATAACATTCGAATCAAAACAATACAATTAGCTACAAGCAAAACCTTTGTAGCTTAAGAAGATATAAACAGCCACTGGGCGGAACTTTTGTGGCCATTAATTTGCATTAGCTTCAAAGTTTTTTTTCATGGCTATGATTTTGTGTCTATATGTAACAATTGTTGTAGTGTGCGATTGTTAAAGAGATGTATTGTTGAGAATGCATGTATAATATTATACATGTATTGTCGAATTTGATGCATTGTAGAATACAATGTTTGGTATGTGAGACTATGTATGTCACATCAGCTAAAAGCTGAGACAAAACAATCTCAACTCAACTATCTCAACAATCACAACTAAAAGTTGAGATATAACAATCACTCAAAATGAGTGATAGTTTCTGTCACATCATAGAAACAATCCATGTATTGTTTCTGCTAAAAAAAACAAAAAAAAAAACGATGCATTGTAAACAATACATGCATAATGACAATCTCAACAAAACAATCGCAACTTCCAAACGACCCCTAAATGAATCTTCGCTTTTGCACCTCGTTAAAATTTAATGGTTCAGATTAATCTCAGTTATTGAAGGACAAGATGGTAATTACACAAATTAATTATTTAAAAATAAAATTAAAAATAAAAATTGGGTTGAATTGGCTGTCCCCTCCCGCCGGCCGCCTGTTTCCGGAGACCTGCCGCCGACCACCCTGGGAATTCCGGTTGCTTTTTCGGCGATGGCAGAGGAGTCCAACGACCAGACACGGCAGAGATGGATTTTCCAATGACAGTGTCGGATTCGTGATGTTTGTCGACCTATTTTGTAATGTTTATCATTCCAGTTTGTAATGTTTATATCAATTCGGTTTCTATCGTTTATCATTGTAGTTTGTTATTTTTATCTATTATGTTTGTAATGTTTATATGACTATTTTGTACATATTGTAAAATGTAATGTTTGTTTGTCTATTTTGTATATTTTTATGCTATGATTTGTATACTTTGTATTAATTTTTTTAGGGAAAGGATGGAGCGCACAAACACAGATTTTGGGCGATTTATGGGAATGGTCATTTTTCTTGGATTTTGAAGGCGACGGATCACAGATTTGTCCAAAGGGTACTCTCCACCAATGATGAAGTCTACTAATCGCCGATTTGGGCATAAATTTGGTCGAACTTTTGCGGATGGCATTTTGGTAATTTTCTTCGATTTTTTTGAAAGGCCGTTTTCCATGGATTTCGAAGGCTGCAGATCACGGATTCAGGCTGAGGCTATTCTTTAGGGATGAATGAGTCTATTAGACACTGATTTGGGCGAAATATTTCCAGGCCATTTTTGGCAGATTCCAAAGGGGTACCATCACCGATTTCAGGCGATTTTTTGGAAAGGCCATTTTCCTTGGATTTTGAAGGCGACGGATCACAACTTCGTCCTTAGGGCACTCTCCACCAATGATGAAGTCTACTAATCGCCGATTTGGACAAAAATTTGGTCGAACTTTTTCGGAGTGCATTTTGGTAATTTTTCGGCGCTTTTTTTGAAACGTCGTTTTCCATGGATTTTGAAGGCTGCAGATCACTGATTCAGGCTGAGACTATTCTTTAGGGATGAATAAGTCTATTAAACACCGTTTTTGGCGAAATATTTCCGGGGCCATTTTTGGCAGATTCCAAAGGGGTACCATCTCCAATTTCAGGCAATTTTTTGGAAAGACCATTTTCCTTAGATTTTGAAGGCGACGGAGCATAGATTCGTCCTTAGGGTACTCTCCACCAATGATGAAGTCTACTAATCGACGAATTGGGCACAAATTTTGTTGAAATTTTCGGATGTCATTTTGGTAATTTTTGGGCGATTTTTTCGAAATGCCGTTTTCCATGGATTTCGAAGGATGCAGATCACGGATTCAGGCTAAGACTATTCTTTAGTGATGAATAAGAATATTAAACACCGTTTTGGGAGGAATATTTCCGGGACCATTTTTGGCAGATTACAAAGGGTACCATCACCTATTTCAGGCGATTTTTAGGAAATGCCATTTTCTTGGATTTTGAAGGCGACGGATCACAGATTCGTCCTTAGGGTACTCTCCACCAATTAGGGAGGGCATTTTGGTAATTTTTCGGTGATTTTTTTTGAAACACTGTTTTCCATGGATTTTGAAGGATGCCGATCAAGGATTCAGGCTGAGGTTATTCTTTAGGTATGAATAAGTCTATTAAACACTATTTTAGGCGAAATATTTCCGGGACCATTTTTGGCAGATTTCAAAGGTGTACCATCACCGATTTCAGACGATTTTTTGGAAAGGCCATTTTCCTTTGATTTTGAGGGCGACGGATAACATATTTGTCCTTATGGTACTCGCCGATTTGGGCAAAAATTTGGCCGAACTTTTGCTAAGAGAATTTTGGTAATTTTTCTTCGATTTTTTTGAAAGGTCGTTTTCCATGGATTTTGAAAGATGCAGATCACGGATTCAAACTGAGGCTATTCTTTAGGGATGAATGACTCTATTAAACACCAATTTGGGCAGAATATTCCCGTTGACATTTTTGGCAGAATCCAAAGGTGTACCATCAACGATTTCAGGCGATTTTTTGGAAAGGCCATTTTCCATGGATTTTGAAGGCGACGGATCACTGATTCGTCCTTAGGCAGAAATTTGATCGTACTTCTTCAGAGGGTATTTTGATAATTTTTCGGTGATTGTTTTGAATCGCGGTTTTCCAGGGATTTTGAAGCCTGCGATCAAGGATTCAGGCTGAGGCTATTCTTTTGGGATGAATAAGTCTATTAAACACCGTTTTGTGCGAAATATTTCCGATGCCATTTTTTGCAGATTCCAAAGGGGTACCTTCAACGATTTCAGGGGATTTTTTGGAAAGGTCATTGTCCTTGGATTTTGTAGGCGACGGATCACAGATTCGTCCTTAGGGTACTCTCCTCCAATGATGAAATCTATTAATCGCCGATTTGGGCAGAAATTTGGCCGAACGTTTTCAAAGGGCATTTTGATAATTTTTCGTCTATTTTTTGAAACACGGTTTTCCATGGATTTTGAAGACTGCAGATCACGGATTCAGGCTGAGGCTATTCTTTAGGAATGAATAAGTATCTTAAACACCGTTTCGGGCGGAATATTTTCGGGGCCATTTTTGGTAGATTCCAAAAGGGTACCATCACAGATTTCTGTCGATTTTTTGGAAAGACTATTTTCTTGAATTTTGAAGACGACAAATCACAGATTCGTTCTTAGGGTACTCTCCACCAATTATGAAGTCTACTAATCGCCGATTTGGGCAGAAATTTGGTCGAACCTTTGCGTAAGGCATTTTTGTAACTTTTCGGCGATTTTTTAGAAAGACCGTTTTCCATGGATTTTGACGGCTGCAGATCACGGATTCAGGCTGAGCCTATTCATTAGGGATGAATGATTCTATTAAACACCTATTTGGGCGGAATATTTCTGGGGTCGTTTTTGGCAGATTCCAAACAGGTACCATCACCGATTTCGTGCGATTTTTTGGAAAGGCTATTTTCCTTGGATTTTGAAGGCGACGGATCACAGATTCGTCATTAGGGTACTCTCCACCAATGATGAAGTCTACTAATCTCCGATTCTGTGCAGAATTTTATTCGAAATTTTTGGGATGGCATTTTGGTAATTTTTCGGCTATTTTTTCGAAAGCCCGTTTGCAATGGATTTTGAAGGCTGCATATTACGGATTCATGCTAGGCTATTCTTTAGGGATGAATAAGTCTATTAAACACCGTTTCGGGCGGTATATTTCCTGGGCTATTTTTGGCAGATTCCATAGGGGTACCATCAACGATTTCGGTCGATTTTTTAGAAAGACCATTTTTCTTTGATTTTGAAGGCGACGGATCACAGATTCGTTCATAGGGTACTCTCCACCAATG